TGCAAACGGGGTTGATGGACGCGACACTTTGGTCAAAAGAAGGGTAGTTGAAAGAGCCTTCAACGCAGGTAAATAATTGCAGGATCGTAATTTTGATTATTTGAGCAAGGAAATAGCATAGAACTAGCCGATAGAGACCATTGTGATAATGAATTGGATCGGCTCAAACTAATATTTCTTGAGAATAATTATCCCCAAGGATTGATTAAAACTAACATTAGATTTGAATGGAGAATACGTAAGGAGAGATAAGAAGACCTTTTCCCATGTTTTCTTTTCGCTTTCGTACATTCTCTCCAAAAGGAATGACGAATTAGTAAATAAGTAAGTGTGGAATAAAAACAACTTTCTGAGAATCTACGACACTTTCTTTTGTTATGCCCTCTTTAAAAGAGAAAATTGATCCATCATCAATATCGGGTTGCTATAACCTACGGTATTAACGTGGTAGCTTTTATGCTGGAGAGACTTGTCGTCCCATTTGACAGAGGGTGGCTGGGCACAAACGCGCCTGTAGAGACTGATGGGTTAAGAAACAGTTAGCTGAACACAAAGCAGAAACTGGACATGCGATTGAATCGCTTCAATCTTCTTGCTTTGCTGATTATGGTATGTCTGTAGCTAAAAACCAGTAATATGAGATGTATTCACCCTATTTCGTTCAAGGTGATGAAGAACTGGTAGTAGAATTTTCCCACAACGATATGTGTAAAGTAGACGTTTCCATTGAATTTCACATTGCTTTGCTTTCCCAAAATGGTTACAATGGTGGAAATCACGATTAATATGTTAAGAGGTCTCCCTGACGCTCCAACAAGTTGCGAAAGCAAGGTCGAACCAAAACTATTTCGTTTGATATTTGATCACATTTATCATCTTCACAGTAGGATAAACAGCTCTCCTGACGAAAATATGTCAGAAATATCAGCAAAAATTTATGTAAGACTCAAGGATAGAGAGCATGTTGAGCCGTTTGAAAAAAAGAGGCGACTCAACTAGTATTTCTTGTCTTGGTTCTAATCCCGGTCACATTTTTATCCTTTTAGTCCACTCTTTTTCTCTCACATTAAGACAAAAAGCTCATCAACTTAATCAAATGTGTGTCCAAATTTGTGAGTGATGCTCAAAATACATGTATATATATATGTGTGTATATAAAGGGGGTGATGGTGGTCATCAAATCTTGATGGCCGAGAACACAAGTTACTTTCCTGCTCTAATTACTTTGAGCCATAACTGATGGTTTCATAGATATACGAGCACATGAAGGCACGTAAACACACATAGACAGGCACACTCACATGCTTCGAGGTCGACATCTGACTTAAACTAGCCAAAACACTTTATACCTTATAAAAGTGCTTAGATATAGTGTATATATACGACATTTAACGATGAGCTTCTGAGTTTTCTTGACTCGTAAATTTGGATATGGTTGTAAGAATGATACCCTGTTCTTATGATCTTTGCCATATGAGGCTTAGAACGTTTCAACTAGAATGGAGGAAGATTTCCTTGGAAATGGTGTCAACAAGAATGTTTCAGTAAAGTCGTTGGTCAGAAGGAATCCGCCGTAATCTTCTGGTGGGATCGACCTCTGAATAGCTTCACCAAACACTTTCACTTGAAATGGGAGTAAACTCAACAAGGAAATAGGTGTCGCTTCATCCACTTCCATTGCATGAATAAACCTCTCCTTCTACAAGAGTGCATGTTAGGCATGAAATAGACAGCCAGATAATTGAATGCTTAATTAGGCACAAGAAATGAGTATAATTGCATTGGGACAGTCATCGTTTTTTGGAGGTTTTTTTTCGTAAAGCATATTTGCCCATTCTGATGATATTTGTCACGATAGGACAGACGAAAACTTAACACGGGATTCATTGGGGTCGCGGGACATTCAGCCGAGGACTTTTTCGCACAATCTAGCGGTTTTCACTTCCAGGCAATCCTGCTCCATCGGTTTCTAGTGAGAACAATCTACGAATTGTTTCCAGCCAACCATTCTTTCGCGATCTAAAACTTTTGCCACATGTAATGGAAGAAATTCTCCCTCTGGAAGTGAACCATCCTGAAAACGTTACCGGAATACCCGAAGAAGCGAAAAGTTTCCTCCCTATTCATGGGTTCATCACTGGAGGCGCAACCAAAGCAAGTGTAATCGAGGAAGGATATACAGATTTAGGGAACACTGAGTGTATAGACTATGACAAACTCACCGTCTCGACGCCGTTTGCTCGTGGCCGGTCCAATGGTGCCACAGTTTCCGCCAATTTGTGAGAGCTGCTGTCCGCCGGTGAGCCCATCCCCACCGGCCGTCCGACGTTCGCTATTGTCTTTGTCTCGTTTAGGGCAGGCACAGCTGCGGAACTTAATGCACTGTCTGCCAAGAACCTCGCATTGTCCAGAACTGCTTCAACATTCGGGCACCGGCAGGACGAAAATGTAAGAGAGCATAAAAGAGGTTTAAAGAGAGGGCGTAATAAAACTGTGAATGAGTCGGCAGAATATGTGAAAATTAAATACAATCGAAGGTATGAAGACAAAGATGGTGTGGCTTTTTGCGTGGTTGCAGTCTTCTTTTGTTGCATAGAAATTGTTTGAAATTGTTTCCGCCACTTGGTCATATTGTCAGGAGGACCTAGAGGAACGAACATCACCCGGAGTTCATAGTATGCATGAGAATTTCCAGTCGGACCGTCAACGTGGTACATTATTTAGCAGACGATTGATGAAAAGATCAGCTTCAATTGTCTCTTTGACGAGTCGTAGTGTCGTGCTAAGACTGACAATAGTCACTGACGATGCTGGCAAAATGTCTGGGAATGTACCACGTCCACGGTCCGACTCGGTAAATTATCATGCATGCATTGGACTCCGGTCTAGGTGCGTACATCAAAGTATTCTTACCTTGAAATGCAATGTTAGGAAGACTCAGTGATCTTATGGTTATATGAAGCAAAAATCTCTCTGAAAGAGGTCTAGAAATGAGGAGCCATGGACGGGTGACATTTGTCCACATTCGTCATCTTCTGCCAAAATTACGTGTTAAACGAGATAACCTTGTTATGTTCACTTTCGATTGGTGTAAAAGTGGCCTATGCTTGAATATCGCCAGAAGTCGACGGCAGATCCCTGTTGCTCGGCAGACTATTGTCTTTGTCACGACGTTCAGGTTGAACAATTCTCCAAGCCATTTATCCTCATTTTTGGTTAAAACGGTCTGAGCTTCCGTCTAACTCCGGAGGGACACGGTTAGAGCTGAAAGTCAATCTTGCCAAAGCTTCAATTTAACACCATTTCACCGAAAATAGTCGTCTATATCTTACATTAAATATCTATCAATTTATCCATTCAAACGTTTAATTGGAAATGAATATATAAATATATAAAACACATACACATATAAATACATAAATATATATATGTACGTCTGAGTAAATTAATGTGCATACAAGAACTGCTGAGCGGATGCGAATGTGGTTATAACCCTCTCTGAGCTGACCAGTTGAGTCAACTTCTTTTATATCGACTGCTCAACAGCCTACGTCACCTTGAGTCAATCAATCAAGCATAAGCAGTTCTTACCCAACTTCCCACCTCCAGTAATTACGTGCAACGTATTCCTTTAGCCAAGCCAGGTCTTTACCATACCACAAATGTGTAGTGGGAGTTTCGATGAAACAAACTAACATTTGCGAATACATTCCACTACGTTACTTATATTCGTAATGAGTAGGCTTCAAAACTGCCGGTAGATTTGGATTAAGTGCTGTATTCACGCTTAGTCCGCATCAGATGATGACATACTGAGAGTTGAAATTTTCAACAACCATATGATGAGATCTCCTGATGCTAAGGAATTTCACATAGCCTTGCTTCCCATAAGGTATTTTCGCCTTGATAAGAGTGGGCAACAGTGGGCAAGGTTAAGAGGAGTTCAACGGCTCAGCTCATTGCGCAAGATTCAACTGTCAGTCTATCATCAGTTTATGAGGGCTAAAGTAAATACAATTTTTGTGTTAAGCTCTCTTCTCTTATCCGACGAATATCATCAGAGCAAAGTATCATTCGCATAATCATACTCAAGAGAGCAGGTGAATAAAACATGGGATTTACCTTCCAATCTTTTGATGACATACTTTCAATCAAAATGGACGTTAGCTTAGCAAGTGCCAGCCAAATGGTTCCTCTAAGTCCGTCTTGTCTTCGCATAAAGTCACAATGTTTATAAGCACCAAACCAAGGCGTGTTCAGAGGAGGGCAAGTGAAATCAGTCGCCCTCTTTCGGTTACATTTCCAGTCAGCCTCCGCCAGAAGCGTGACAAAATTGAGCCGCCGAGGTCTGTCCTTAAGACCTCTGGAGAGCCTCTTGAGCTAATTCTTGTGGAGGATATCTCGAGGACTGCGTCAAGCTGAAGTGAAACAGCTGCAGGACAATTAGAATCAGCCATCATCTTCCGATAAAATCAAACAACGAAGCCCTCCCTCATGCATTTTTATACAAAATTAGATCCTCCCAAAAAGTGTCTTGAGTTACAGCTTTGATGAGAATGACTCCCAGTTCTTTATTTCCCT